GAGGAGGAATTAGAAGAAAAGGGGCATCAAAAGAGGAGCAGGGATTAGAAGAAAAAAGGGCATCAAAAGAGGAGGAGGAATTAGAAGAAAAGAGGGCATCAAAAGAGGGGGGAGATATTAGAAGAAAGAGGTGGCATCAAAGAGGAGGAGGAAAAGAGGTAGAGGATTAGAAGAAAAAGAGATTAGAAGAAAAAAGGCATCAAAAGAGGGGAGATATTAGAAGAAAAAAGGCATCAAAAGAGGAGGAGGAATTAGAAGAAAAGAGGGGCATCAAAAGAGGAGGAATGTTAGAAAAAGGGCATCAAAAGGGGAGGAGGGATTAGAAAAAGAGGGCATCAAAAGAGGGGGAGATATTCAAAGAAGGGCATCAAAAAAGGGCATCAAAAGAGGGGGAAAAATTCAAAAGAGGAGGAAAAAGAAAAGAGGGCATCAAAAGAGGAGCAGAGATTAGAAGAAAAGAGGGCATCAAAAGAGGAGGAGGTATTAGAAGAAAAGAGGTGGCATCAAAAGGGAGGAGGGATTAGAAGAAAAGAGGGGCATAAAAAGAGGAGGAGGAATTAGAAGAAAAGAGGGTATCAAAAGAGGAGCAGGGATTAGAAGAAAAGAGGGCATCAAAAGAGGAGGAGGATTAGAAGAAAAGAGGGCATCAAAAGAGGAGGAGGAATTAGAAGAAAAGAGGGCATCAAAAGAGGAGCAGGGATTAGAAGAAAAAATGGCATCAAAAGAGGAGGAGGGATTAGAAGAAAAAAGGGCATCAAAAGAGGAGGAGGAATTAAAAGAAAAAGGGCATCAAAGAGGAGGAGGGATTAGAAAGAAAAGAGGGGCATATCAAAGAAAAAGAGGAGGAATTAGAAGAAAAGGGGCAAAAGAGGAACAGGGATCAAAAGAGGGCATCAAAGAGGGGCATCAAAGGGATTAGAAGAAAAAAGGGCATCAAAAGAGGAGGAGGAATTAGAAGAAAGAGAAAAGAGAAAAGGGGCATCAAAAGAGGAGGAGGATTAGAAAAAAGGGCATCAAAGAGGAGGAGAAATAAAAAAAAAGGGCATCAAAGAGGAGGAATTAGAAGGGATTAGAAGAAAAAATGGCATCAAAAAAAGAGGAGGAGGAATTAGAAGAAAAAAGGGCATCAAAAGAGGAGGAGAGAGATTAGAAGAAAAAAGGGCATCAAATGAGGAGGAGGGATTAGAAGAAAAGAGGGTATCAAAGAGGAGGAGGGATTAGAAGAAAAAAAGCATCAAAAAGAGGAGGAGGAATTAGAAGAAAAAGGGCATCAAAAGAGGAGGGATTAAAAGAAAAAGGGCATCAAAGAAGAAAAGAGGGGCATCAAAGGGAGATTTAGAAGAAAAAAGGGCATCAAAGAGGATTAGAGGATTAGAAAAAAGGGGCATCAAAAGAGGGTAGGGATTAGAAGAAAAAGAGAAAAAGGGCATCAAAAAAAGAGGATCAAATGGGAGGAATATTAGAAGAAAAGGGGCATCAAAAAGAGGGGAGATATTAGAAGAAAAAGGGCATCAAAAGGGAGGAGGAATTAGAAAAAAAAGGGGCATCAAAAGAGGAGCAGGGATTAGAAGAAAAGGGCATCAAAGAGGAGGAGGTATTAGAAGAAAAAGAGGGCATCAAAAGGGGAGGATTAGAAGAAAAGGGGGCATCAAAGAGGAGGAGGTATTAGAAGAAAAGAGGGTATCAAAAGGGAGCAGGGATTAGAAGAAAAGAGGGCATCAAAAGAGGAGGAGGGGGATTAGAAGAAAAGAAAAGGAGGGGATCAAAGAAGAAAAGAGGGCATCAAAAGAGGATTAGAAGAAAAGGGGCATCAAAAGAGGAGGAGGGATTAGAAGAAAGAGGGCATCAAAAGAGGAGGAGGAATTAGAAGAAAAGGGCATCAAAAGAGGAGGAGGAATTAGAAGAAAAGGGGCATCAAAAGAGGAGCAGGGATTAAGAAAAAAAAAGGGCATCAAAAGAGGAGGAGGAATTAGAAGAAAAGAGGGGTATCAAAAGAGAAGGATTAGAAGAAGAAAAAGAGGGGGAGGATTAGAAGAAAAGAGGCATCAAAAGGGAGGAGGAATTAGAAGAAAGAGGGCATCAAAAGAGGAGGGGGATTTAGAAGAAAAAAGGCATCAAAAGAGGAGGAATTAAAGAGGGCATTAAAGGAAAAAAGAAAAGGGCATCAAAAGAGGAGGAGGGATTAGAAGAAAAGAATCAAAAAGGAGCAGGGATTATCAAAAGAGGAGGAGGAATTAGAAGAAAAGAGGGCATCAAAAGAGGAGGAGGAATTAGAAGAAAAGAGGGCATCAAAAGAGGAGGAGGAATTAGAAGAAAAAGGGCATCAAAAGAGGAGGAGGGATTAGAAGAAAAGAGGGCATCAAAAGAGGAGGAGGGATTAGAAAAGAAAAAGAGGAGGAATGGCATCAAAAGAGGAGGAGGAATTAGAAGAAAAGAGGGGCATCAAAAGGGCATCAAAGAAAAAAGGCATCAAAAGGAGGAGGAATTAGAAGAAAAGAGGCATCAAAAGAGGAGGAGGGATTAGAAGAAAAGAGGGTATCAAAAGGAGGAGGAGGAATTAGAAAAGAAAAAAGGGCATCAAAGGGGAGGAGGGATTAGAAGGGCAAAAAGAGGGCATCATAAAAGAGGGCAGGAGGAAAAGAGGGTATCAAAAAGAGGAGCAGGGATTAGAAAGAAAAGAGGGCATCAAAAGAGGAGGAGGGATTAGAAGAAAAAGGGCATCAAAAGAGGAGGAGGGATTAGAAGAAAAGAGGAATTAAAAGAGGAGGAGAAAAAAGAGAAAAAGGGGCATCAAAAAGGGAGGAAGGAAAAAGAAAAAGAAGAAAGAGAAAGAATCAAAAAGAGGAGGAGAAAGAGAAGAAAAGAAAGGGAGGAGGGATCAAAAAGGGCATCAAAAGAGCAGGGGGTTAAAAAGAAGGAGGGGAAGATCAAATCAAAGAGGAGGGATTAGAAGAAAAGAGGGCATCAAAAGAGAGGAATCAAAAGAGAAGAAGAAAAATCAAAAAAAGGAGGAGGGATTAGAAGAAAAATGGCATCAAAAGAGGAGGAGGATTAGAAGAAAAAAGGGCATCAAAAGAGGAGGAGGGATTAGAAGAAAAGAGGGCATCAAAAGAGGAGGAGGGATTAAAGAAAAGAGGGGCATCAAAAGAGGAGGAGGAGGAAGAAAGAGGGCATTAAAGAAGGGCAAAAAGGGATTAGGATTAGAAGAAAAGGGGCATCAAAAGAGGAGGAGGAAGATTAGAAGAAAAGGCATCAAAAGGGCAGGAAAAGAGGATTAAAGAAAAGAGGATTAAAAGAAAAGAAAAGAAAAATGGCATCAAAAGAGGAGGAGGAGGATTAGAAGAAAGAAAAGAGGGCATCAAAAGAGGAGGAGGGAAGAAGAAAAGAGGGCATCAAAGAGGAGGAGGAGGATTAGAATTAGAAGAAAAAGGGCATCAAAAGGGAGCATCAAAAAAGAAGGGCATCAAAAGAGGAGGAGGATTAGAAGAAAAGGGCATCAAAAGAGGAGCAGGGATTAGAAGAAAAAGAGGGCATCAAAAGAAAAGAGGCATCAAAGAGGAGGAGGGATTAGAAGAAAAGAGGGCATCAAAAGAGGAGGAGGGATTAGAAGAAAAGAGGGCATCAAAAGAGGAGGAGGAATTAGAAAAAAAGGGCATCAAAAGAGGAGGAGGAATTAGAAGAAAAAGGGTATCAAAAGGAGGAGGAGGGATTAGAAGAAAAGAGGGCATCAAAAGAGGAGGAGGGATTAGAAGAAAAAAGGGCATCAAAAGAGGAGGAGGGATTAGAAGAAAAGAGGGCATCAAAAGAGGAGGAGGGATTAGAAGAAAAGAGGGCATCAAAAGAGGAGCAGGGATTAGAAGAAAAGAGGGCATCAAAAGAGGAGGAGGAAGAAAAGAATCAAAAGAGGAGGCATCAAAAGAGGAGGAGGAATTAGAAGAAAAGAGGGCATCAAAAGAGGAGGAGGAATTAGAAGAAAAGAGGGCATCAAAAGAGGAGCAGGGATTAGAAGAAAAAAGGGCATCAAAAGAGGAGGAGGAATTAGAAGAAAAGAGGGCATCAAAAGAGGAGCAGGGATTAGAAGAAAAGAGGGCATCAAAAGAGGAGCAGGGATTAGAAGAAAAGAGGGCATCAAAAGAGGAGGAGGGATTAGAAGAAAAGAGGGCATCAAAAGAGGAGGAGGAATTAGAAGAAAAAAGGGCATCAAAAGAGGAGTAGGGATTAGAAGAAAAGAGGGCATCAAAAGAGGAGCAGGGATTAGAAGAAAAAAGGGCATCAAAAGAGGAGGAGGAATTAGAAGAAAAGATGGCATCAAAAGAGGAGCAGGGATTAGAAGAAAAGAGGGTATCAAAAGAGGAGGAGGGTTTAGAAGAAAAGAGGGCATCAAAAGAGGAGGAGGGATTAGAAGAAAAAAGGACATCAAAAGAGGAGGAGGAATTAGAAGAAAAGAGGGTATCAAAAGAGGAGCAGGGATTAGAAGAAAAGAGGGGGCATCAAAAGAGGAGGAGGGATTAGAAGAAAAGAGGGCATCAAAAGAGGAGGAGGGATTAGAAAAAAAAAGGGCATCAAAAGAGGAGGAGGAATTAGAAGAAAAAAGGGCATCAAAAGAGGAGGAGGAATTAGAAGAAAAGAGGGTATCAAAAAAGGAGCAGGGATTAGAAGAAAAGAGGGGTCATCAAAAGAGGAGGAGGGATTAGAAGAAAAGAGGGCATCAAAAGAGGAGGAGGGATTAGACGAAAAAAGGGCATCAAAAGAGGAGGAGGGATTAGAAGAAAAAAGGGCATCAAAAGAGGAGGAGGAATTAGAAGAAAAAAGGGCATCAAAGGAGGAGGAGGAATTAGAAGAAAAGAGGGCATCAAAAGAGAAGCAGGGATTAGAAGAAAAGAGGGGGGCATCAAAAGAGGAGCAAGGATTAAAAGAAAAGAGGGGGCATCAAAAAGGAGCAGGGATTAGAAGAAAAGAGGGTATCAAAAGAGGAGGAGGAATTAGAAGAAAAGAGGGCATCAAAAGAGGAGGAGGGATAAAAGAAAAGAGGGTATCGAAAGAGGAGGAGGAATTAGAAGAAAAGAAGGCATCAAAAGAGGAGCAGGGATTAGAAGAAAAGAGGGCATCAAAAGAGGAGTAGGAATTAGAAGAAAAGAGGGCATCAAAATAGGAGGAGGGATTAGAAGAAAAGAGGTGGCATCAAAAGAGGAGGAGGTATTTGAAGAAAAGAGGGGCATAAAAAGAGGAGTAGGGATTAGAAGAAAAGAGGGGGCATCAAAAGTGAGGGAAATTCTAAAAGAAAAAGTATCACTAAAAGAGAAGGTGAAAACAAAAAGTGAAGGAGTACAAAAAGAAAAGGAAACCTTGAAAGAGAAAGAGATACCAAAAGAAAAAAAGTCCTGAAAGAGAAGGTGGCCTCAAAAGAAGGGGGGGGTGTCAAAAGAAGGGGGCAACAAAAAAAGAGTCAGCATCAAAAGAAAGAGACTCTCAAAGAGAAATGGCACCAAAAGAGGATAAGACATCGAAAGTGAAGTGGTACAAAAAGAAAAGGAGACCCCAAAAGATAAGGGGACATCAAAAGAGGAGGAGGCATAAAAAGAAAAGAGGGCATCAAAATAGAAGGAGACTCTTAAAGAGAAATGGTACCAAAAGGGAAGAGACAGCAGATATGATGAGGTACAAAAAGAAAAGTGACCCTGAAAGAGAAAAGTGTACCAAAAGAAAAAGGGGCCCCAAAAAAAGGAAGAATACACCAAAAAAGAAGACGGCATCAAAAGTGATGTGGACACCCAAAAAGTCATCAAAACAAGGTAGATGCAAAAGAAAAAAAGTGAGGCTAAAAGAGAAGTAGACCCTAAAGTGACAGAGCAGCAAAAGACTAGAAGGCATCAAAAGTGAAAAAAGCAAAACAGATTTTTTGATGATACTATGACTTTTATTGGCCAGATCATATTTGCAATGATAGGCTATTGCAAACTCTCATAAAACATATATATATATATATATATATATATATATATATATATATATATATATATTCTATGCAAGATATATCGATGATATATTCTTTGTATACATGGGTAGTGACAAACTTACCCAATTCCTTATGACCCTAAACATAGTGCACGACTCAGTTAAGTTTGACTATGAAAAATCCACAACATCAGTAACATTTTTAGACACCTGCATTTACATAAATGAAAACAGGAAACTACAAACGACACTACACACTAAAATCACCTACACCCACAACTATCTACACTTTAAGTCTTCCACCCTAAACACCTCAAAGAGAACCTTCCCTATTCACAAGCACTTAGACTCAGAAGGATATGTTCCAACAATGAAGAATTAAATAAACACATTGAAAATCTGGAGCATCAATTCACAACACGTGGCTATAAACACACCTAATCAGGGAACAAATAAATAAAGCAATTTCTACACCTAGAGAAGACACCCTAATGTACAAGATTAAAAATAAATCTAGCCGCATTCCTCTAGTAACCACTTTCAACCCCACTCTGCCTCCACTATCCCAAATAATCAAACGTCGCTAGGAAATACTACATCTCAAATACTACCAGCAAGCAGAAATATTTCTTCTCCCTCAAATCCGTAATAAACTAAGAATAAAAACAACAGGATTTTCCCAACCATGTAACAACAAAAGAAGTTTATGTTGCAACCATATTAAAAACACGAATTCATTCACTAGCTCAATCACTAAATCTACTTTCAAAATCTGCCACGATTCTAACTGTAGAAGTCATAACATAATTTACCTCCTAGAATGCACACTATGCCAGAAACAATAGGTAGGAAAATCTGAATGGCCCTTTCACTACAGAATTAATAATTATCGCAATCGAATTAAGTTGACTCCCCATGAAAAATTATTACCTGTAAAACAACATTTCCACCTGGAAAAACATGATTTCAAAACCCATGCCAAATTCACTATAATTGAGAGAATAGAAAAGTTCAGAGCAGATAACATTAGAAAACTTTTTGAGTCCCATGAAAATAAGTGGATACAACATCTAAAAACACAATATTCAGCCGGGCTAAACCATAAATTTAACAATATAGATAGTACTAATATATAACTCAACAAATCAAAACCTACCCACATTTCTCACCCACACAAAACAGACATGCTTATGGAGGTGTTGAGGCCTCACACGTATACACACAGCCACACGGACATACACACTTACACACACCATACTCACTCACTCCCTAATGAGCCAAATGATAAAACACACCTACAGCAATACACATGCTTGCACATATCATACTCACTCACTCCCTAAGAACCAAATAACACACACACAAACACTAAACAGAGACACATCCCCTCACCAGGTCAAACTGACCAAGGGAATTCAGGGAAGCATAGATCCATCCAGCTCTTATCTCAAATAACAACTTAAAAGAGACTGTTTGACCAACACAAGGAATGTTAAAAGATTCATGTTAAAAAGATAAAAAAACAAATGAAAACTACAGACAAAAAGTTCATTTTCTCCATCAAGACATTCATTTCTGTAGTTTACTGCTACCAGCAAGCAAAATATTTCTCCTCCCCCGATGATGGCCATTTTGGCCGAAACTAGTCAAGGAATCTAAATGAAATAATAATAAAAAAAATGAAAATATTAATCTACAAACCCAGTGTGTCTGAAGATTTTAAATTTTTAATATTTTTTTATTGTTCAAAATATATATATATATATATATATATATATATATATAGTTAAATTCCCACATGAATTCTGTGGACAAGAAATGCGTCGACAAAATGTAAGATTTTTTTCCAATTGTCATTTGATACCATATATATATATATATATATATATATATATATAAACAATGTTGGTGTTGATGGAATAAACTTCCAGTAACCAAAAACACTATTTTTAAAAAAAAAGTAGAGTGAATAATATTTATTTAAAAATTATAACATATGTATGTTATAACATAACTACAAAAATAGCCATTTTGTTTCAACACTTTTATTTTTTAGGGATCTTATAAGATACATATGTTAGCATTTTTAAATATATATATATATATATATATATATATATATATATATATATATATATATATATATATATATATATTATGTAATAGAGAAATCCAAAATTACCTCATGAAACATACAAGCAAGCCTTCGTATACAAATACGTATATATATACTCTATAGAGTAAGAAAAAACAGTTCTCAGTGTTAAATAACAGAGCTATTTAATATATTAAGAAATATACATAATATCTTACTCATGATAAACAGAAATATTAAAGAAGTGTTATTAACGCAAAAAATTTCACCAGACAAATGTAAAATGTATGAAACTCTGAGTTGTGCAATAAATGTAAGATATTATGTATATTTCTTAATATATATACATATATATATATGCAGATCAAATATGGTCAGAATTTTACAGAATGATAGGAGAAAGAACAAATTGGAAACGTTTATCAATCTAACATGTTCCACTTTTATTAAAGCTTCATCTGAGGATTTTGTTTCTTATTTGTTCTTCATCCATTTATATATCTCTATATATTATGTTATTTATGTAGTTTTAGAAGCAATTTTGATATATTTTCTTCCTGACTTCACTTTGTTGAAGCCAAATGATTAGTTGTAGGAAAAATAACTTTTTCTGTTCATCAAACTCTTTCCTTTCTGTCTTCACATGAACTACCTTCAATATCCATCGAACACCAATTCAGAAAAATGATAAACTTTGTGTTTGCTTTTTTTCTCCATTTTTATTGTTACTGACTAATACTCATAATTCATTTAATCACACCCCCTGCATACTTCTCAATTTCCATCAATATTTTTTCTCACATCAAGAACAGAAAAAGCAAAACTCTTTGATAATGACTCATGAAAACTGAATGTACTCAGAGATTAGACAATTGATATTTAAATTAAGGTAAGCAACTCATTTCACCTTCTGGAATTAACATTCTCAGCTGACAAGAAGAGGAAAGACTACATTGAATCCATTATTATTTCAGCTGCTAAGAAAATTGGTTTACTGTGTCATTCTAGACAATTTTTCTCTCCAGAATCTGTCTTACATATCCATAAATTTACCATCTGCTTAGAATATTGCTGTCACATATAGTTCAGTGCTCTTGCTATTCATTTAGAGATTCTTGATAAAATGCAAAGGAGAATCAGCAATATTATTGATCCTGACCTGGCATCTCAGATTCAGTCACTTTCCAACTGCTCTAAAGCTGCTTCCTTCCCTGTACCTTTTCTAGTATTTATACTTACATGTTAAATATTTGGATGACCTCTTTGCTATGCTACCAAATACTTTATGATTTTAAGTGCAGTACAAGATTGGCAACAATTTACAGTTGAAATGCAACCCTCTTCCAGCTCCATGCTTTCCGGCCAACTTTGATCTTCAAAAATTTAAATGCAATGTCAATCTTTATATACTGTCTTCCTGATTACTCTTCTGTAGTTCTGATGTTTTCTGTTTTCTAATACTTTTACACCCAGTAACCTCTTGTGTCTTAGTGGCTTTACTGCCTTGCTCAGGGTGAATTTGATTAAAAAATATTTATAACAGACCAGAAAAATTATCCAAAATATAGAGAAAAAAAATCTTTAACAAAGATATATATATTGGCGTGTGCATGTGTGTGTGCATGTGTGTGTGTGTACACTCAGCTCCCTTGTGTTACTTGTGTTTGTTTTTAGCCCACATATTGGACTCCACAACCACATGAAATGGCACCAGCATAGTGCAAAAATTAAAACTATTTGATAATGTCTTATCAAAGACAAAGATACTCAGAATTCAGATAATTTATATTAAATATGTAACAGAAACCAGGAAAATTGTTCAAGACATAGAAAAAACAAATAAAAATGCTTAAAGAACTCTTATTCTTTAACTAAACTTAATATATATATATATATATATATATATATATATATATATATATATATATATATATATATATTACATCAACTACACAACCACATGTTTATCCAGATGTCTTACGTTACACCTATCTGATCACAGCTCCATCAGAACACATTTAAACACACACCCAGATTTACCCGACTCCATTAGGAACATACTAGTAGAAAACACAAATATATTAACTGCATCCACTTGCAAAAAAGACTAAAAATAATGGAAGCGCTAATAATAAAAAAGAAAAAGCCAACTCTTAACAATATTAACTACGAACAAAGCCACAATGTGCTAACTGTATTCGGAAATTAAAAACATCCCTAACACACACTGATGCATACACAGAACGCACACACTCAATTAAGCTGAAAAATCGAATCATCCTTGATAATGGCTAAAGGTATAGCCGAAAGCTCTCGGAAATATAAAACATTCAGACAGTTCTTGCACACCCTTTGTCCAGAAAAGAAAGCTCTTGTCAGAACACAAGAAAAATTAAATAAAAAGCTTAACCGTAGTACCTTGTCTGTCGTTTTTAATGAAACATGCATAAAGGAAGAATTGCTGCTTAAATATACAAATATCTATATCTATATATATCTATATATATATATATATATATAAATCTATATATATTATTTGCCAAACTCTTTCAGTAATAACCATTGATACATTAGTAGTTGACCTAGAGAAGCTAAAGCAATATTGTTTGGTGAGATGCTTAACCAATTCAGAGTTGCTTAAAACCTCTAGAACTTTGCCAAAAAGATGTAGAGGAATAATAAGTCAATAGTTAAGTTACAAGA